AGTCTCTTTCTATGTGTATGCTCTGCATTCATCCTCACATCTTTTCCTGTATGACTCTATTGCCTCCTCTTTTCCTTCCAAGGACCCTGGAGATACAAATGAATCCAGTTGAATAGTCCAGGATAACCTCCCCATTTTAGATCTTTAACTTAATATATCTGCAAAGTTCCTTAGCTATGTTTCATAGTAAATTCACAGGTTCCAAAGACTGGGCCATGGATGTGTTTGGGTAGAGTCACTATTCTGTCTATCACAATGCTGAATCTTGCCTTCTTCCTATGTTGTTGTCGTTAAGCACTATCAAGTCAGTTCCGATCCATAGCAACCCTGTATAGGGTTTCCTAGGAGCAGCTGGTAAGCTTGAACCACCAACCTTGCAGTTCAAACGGCTTTGCAGTCAGGCACATTAACCCACAGCGCCACACCAGGACTCCCCGCTTCTTCCTATAGCAGGCAATATATAAAGATCTCCTCCAGTATTCAGTAAGCTAAAGGACTACTGGTTAGGGAGAAGGTAGTCATAAAGCAAGAACTATTCCTTTTAATAACCATGGGAAATTGTGATTTTGATCATTTATAAATCAAGATAATCAGATGAATAGATTTTTTGGAAGGAAACAGATGTACATATAAAAATGCAATGAATTTTAAGGAAATAGGATTGTAGCTTTAAAACTGTGAATGGATTCAGTATGTCTATATTCTGGAAGAAGACATAATATAGTTTTGTGCTGTTATAGAATACACTGCTGCTTGTTTTACTCTTTTGCCTTTCCTCTCTTTTTTTCTGAACTGTGAATTAATGCAAAACTGTGCTAAACACTTGCTGTTTCATTTTATTCATCCAATTCTTCATTTTATAATATTCAAATGAGAGTAAGAATATAAAAAACTCCAATCGGTCATAAATTTGACTTGGCAGCAGCATTCTGAATGTTTAAAAAGAACATGAATCTTGTTATTATCGGAGGGATGTGCATATGTTAAGAATTATAGAAAAATGAATTCAGGCTAATGGCTCTCAGCCTATGATATGTCTGTTGGTATGATTCTGCAAGCAAATCTAAGCTAGATTATAGATCATATGTTTAGCTTTAATAAAATTTAATTCATCACTTCCCCAATTTAGTTTGAAATCAATTTTCCAAGTACTAAGCAGTTGATCTTTTTATAATGAATCCAGAATAAAATAGCAAAGCTATTTTGATATTTTATTGAAGGTTAACTTGCCACCTTGAAGGTGGTGTTTGTGTCTGCTTCAGTTTCATGGCTTCTATGTGAAGTACTACCCAGGACACTCTGCCTGGAAAGTGGTTGGTACTAAATAAAAGTTTCTTGTATTTAATTTAGTAAATTTCAAAGAGAAAAACACATTCTCCTTTTTCTTCTATACTGTTTATAGTATTAAATCTTGAAATGTTTAGTACATAAAAACCTTACTCTATGTAGCATTTTAGGAACATTTTTAATTATATATGCAATATAAGCCAGTTCACAACAGTAAAAAAGGCATTTCTTTGTTGTTTGAATTTATTTAATCTATTCACTGAGGAAGACGGTTTTTCTTTTTGGCACTTTTATTTCTTAAATGTTAGCATAAAATTGTAGTGAAGCCACAGAACCTGGAGCCAGACTGTCTAGCTTTCCTCCCCAGCTCTTAAATTTACCAGTCACCTGACTTTGAGCAACTTTTATAATCTGTTGGGTCTCTGTTTCCTTATCTGTAAAATGGTGATACAAGTAACAATTGCCTCTACCTTCATAAAGTGGTTGAGGTCATTAAATGAATTTAAGTTTGATACATAGATAACAGTTTATATATATATATATGCTTCTATGTTTTTCTTTAATGTGCCTCTTATATTTCTAAAGTAATAGGAAATATTTAAATGTGCTGAGATAGAACCTGACTTTAGAAATAAGATCATGACAATGCATTTTGCTTTGTGAACCCTGTCACATTAAGATGACTTCTGAATCAAAAAAAATTTTTGAGAGACATTTTTAATAACATACTAATGCAAAGCATTGACCTTTATTTCCAAACTATTATCATGCTCTGAAATACTGGTGTGGCACTATAGGATAAACACTGGACTGCTAACTGTAAAGTTGGCAGTTCAAATGCACCAGCCATTCCTCTACAGAATTGCTATGAGTCAGACCCACTTGAGAACACTTAACAAGAACAACAACCAAGATCTTAAGATCATATTTATCGTCTGTTATTTCAGATTTTTAGACAGTGATTTGTTTAACGGGAAATGTACCCAAATTTGTCACATCTTAGTGTCATGAGAATATATTTTTATGAAATATTCTATTCCAAATTTCAGAATTTCTGAATTAGAAGAGTGGTTTATAACAAATGTATCAATAAAGCCCTTAAAATACCTTTTAATATTAATTTGTGTGTGTTTTTAGATGGTCTTTTACCATTAATGTTGTTGTTGTGGTTGTTAGGTGCCTTCAAGATGGTTCTGACTCATAAAGACCCTATACACAACAGAACAAAGCACTGCCCCGTCCCAAACCATTCTGACAACTGTTGTTATATTTGAGACCATTCCTATTGGCACTATGTCAATCCATCTTGTAAGGGTTCGTCCTCTTTTTTGATGACCTTCCACTTTACCAAATATGATGTTCTTGTCCAAAGATTGGTTCCTCCTGACATGTTCACAGATAGAAAGATAAAGAAACAAAGATGAAATCTCACTATTATTGCTTCTAAGGAGCATTCTGACTGCACTACTTCCAAGACACATTTGTTTCTTCTTCTGGAAGTCCATGATACTTTTAATATTCTCCAACACAATCATTCAAATTCATCTATTCTTCTCTGGTCTTCCTTATTCGTTGTCCAACGTTCACATGCATTTGATGAGTTTGAAAATGCCATGCCTTGGATGCTCAAATTGATATCTTTGCTCTGTAATACTTTCAAAAAGCCTTTTGCAGCAAATTTGTCTAATGACTTAATTTCCTGACTGCTGCTTCCATGAGCCTTGATTGTAGATTTAAGCAAATTGAAGACTTTGACAAATTCCATCTTTTCTCATGATGTTACACATTGGTCCAGTTGTGATAAAGTTGGTTTACTTTACATTGAAGTGCAATCCATTCTGAAGGCTGTAGTCTTAGACCTTCATCAGTAAGTATTTTCAGCCCTCTTAGCTTTCAGCAAGCAAGGCTGTGTCATCTGCATATTGAAGGCTGTTAATGAGTCTTCCTGTAATCTTTCCTGAAGCTATATTCTTCTTCATATAATCTAGCTTTTTTGATTATTTGCTCAGCATACAAATTGAATCAGTATGGTGAAAGAATACAACCCTGTTGCACATATCGGACCTTTCCTAAATTCCAACCATTCAGTATCCCCTTGCTCTGTTTCAATAACTGCCTCTTGGTCTATGTCCAGATTCCTCATGAACACAATTGTTGTTGTGGAATACCCATTCTTTGCAACGTTATCCGTAGTTTGTTATGATTCCGTTGAATGCCTTTGCATAATCAATAAAGCACAAGCAAAAATATTTCTGGTATTCCCTGCTGTTAACCAAGATCCATCTGATATCAACCATCAACAAAATTTTATTTGCATGTGATATTAATGATATGATTCAATGATTGTCTCATTCTGTTGGGTAACATTCTTTGGAATGGGAACAGATGTGGATCTTTTTCAATCTGTTAGCCAGGTAACTTCCAAATTTCTTGGCATAGACAAGTGAGAGTCTCCAGCACTGCATCAATTTGTTGAAACATTTCAGTTTGTACTATGAGTTGGTATTGACGTGATGACACTGAGTTCGATGTTTGAGGCAGAGGTTATAACATAATATGTAAGTAGCATGTTAGCTCATGGTAACATTCCTGCACTGCAAGATAATGCACTGGACCTCAGGTCATTCTGTCAGATCATTGTTGTTGTTAAGTGCCATCAAATTGGTTCCGACTCATAGCAACCCTGTATAGGGTTTCCGTGGAACAGCTGGTGGGTTTGTTAAATGGGAAAACATCAGACTGTCTGAAAAGGATGACTGACAAAGCTGGTTCTAATGATGACACTCTTTCTTTCTTATGTAACATATGCCTCTCTGAATAAGAGAAAAATGTGGAGTCCATCATTTTCATCGTATTCATATATTTTAGATAATTGTGTCTCTGTAGGGACAGAGAAGCAAAGAGCAGTTTTGTTGTTGTTGTTAAATGCCACAGAGTCAGTTCCAACTCATAGCTACCTTGCATAGGGTTTCTGAGGCTGAAATTCCTTGTGGGAGAAGCTAGCCTTATCTTTCGTCCAGGAGTGCCTGGTGGGCTTGAGTCACTAACCTGTGATTAACAGTCTAGTGTTTATCCTACAGAACCATCAATCATGCTCTCCCAAGGTGTGGAACTGTAGGATAAGCATTGGACTGCTAACCACAAGGTCAGCATGTCGAACCCACCAGCTTGTCCTAGGAAACCCTATGAGTCAGAACCGACTCAATAGCACTTAACAACAACAACACAAGTTTCATTAAAACTACATTCAAATCTGCCACTTATTAATTTGTGATGGGGGAAAGCTTCTCAGCCTCTGAGTCTCTGTTTCCTTATTTCTAAATTATAGAAAATAATGCTCCTGCCTCATGAGACTGTTAGAAAAGTAAATGAGAAATGTTCTTATAACATTTAGTATGATTCTAGCACTGGGGTAGTGTTCATTATTAACATAATATAGGTTTACATAACTCACGTCAGAATAATTCAAAAAATACGAAAGAAGACAATCTTTTCTTTTGCCGTTTATATAAATGTATGCTCATATATGAGCATTCTCAGATCTTGCTTGAAACTTGAAGAAAAGAGGGTGAACATGGAACATCAAAAATACTGCTAAATATAGCAGTCTGTTTTAGGTGATCAAATATTTTAAATGTCTTCACTGTTTAGGAGGTGATACTATTTTCTTTTCCAAGCTGACACATATCTAAGCATGCTGCCTTTGTTTTCAGCGACTGTTGTCCCTACTAAGTCTGTGAGTGGACCTGCAGAAGACAGTGCTGCGTGGAGCAAAGGTGTCTCAGACCTCCAAGAGGTACTCTCCTTGAAGGAACGCATGGCAAGGTACCAGGCAACTGTTTCCAGGAGAGACTGCCCCAGCTTCTCTGCTAATGTAAGCTGCACCTGGAGGTTCTTCTTTGTTGGCACTGTGCTTGTCTGCCCTTCCCACTTCTTCCTTGCACTGGCCATGGAAGAATGCTACTACCAGAAAAGGGGAGAAAGTAGGAAGAGCTGGAAAACCATGGGAATTAAATTTAGATTTGAATTTGAGTTTCAGCTCTGCCACATACTGCATGTGAGGACTTGGGCTATTAGCTCAAGCCTTCTTAGAGTTTCAGTTTCCTTAACTGCAAAAATGGGTAACACACAGGGACTTCAAAAAGTTCATGGAAAAATGAGTTTAAAGGATAATGGAATTTTCCCACAAACTTTTTGAGGCTCCCACATATGTCTACTGTGTAGGGTCTTAAGGAGTCTGATTGGTACAAGCAGTTTACCATCTGCTGCTGCCCAAGGATAACTCTTCAAACCCACTTAGCAACTCTTCAAAAGAAAGGTCTGGGGAACTGCTTTTGTAAAGATCACAACCAAGAAACCTAGCACGTGAGGTCTCCACGAATTGTGGTCCACTTGATGTCTGCCAACCACATAAGGTTTTGTTAAGGAGATAATTTATGTGCAAGTGATAAGGCACCGTACAAATGTTATTACTGTCATTGTTATCACTTAACCTATGACTATTCTTTTTAGGAAAGTTGGTAATTAATTTCAAATTTTAATAACGTAGGTCTGCACGCTGCCCTCCTTGGTTCCATACATGGTTCATTGAAATGCAATGGCAGGATAATTTCTTTTGCTTTTCTCGTTTCTCTGTATGCACTAAATCCATTAGGAGCAGCTTAATCAACATAGAAATGAGAGAGATTAGCAATAGAGGCACTTTCCTAAACCAATTATAATTATACAAAACTGCAGGATTCAGTGAGACCACCGATTTTTAGAGCCAATGCATAATGAAGTCATATTCAGAAGATTTTGTTGGGTTCCAAATTCTGTGGCCTTCAATCCACAGGATTTGATGAGTCATTTTATTATTAGAAGCATTCTAGCTTAATGGAATATAAGGATATTTCTTTATAATGATAATCTTCAAATTAGCAAAGCTGTTTCTGTGGGTTTTTTTGTCAAAACACACTGAGGGAGACAGGGAAGGCAGGAGCAAGGGAAGAAGGGAGAATGAAAGAATGACTAACAAAATAGGGTGGTATTTTAAAATAGCTACTGTTAACGTTCTCTACAAATTTTTTAGAGAGATAGACTGACTGTGCCAAGCTCATTAACAATATTACAATTCTAGATGACATTTAGGTTGTTACATAGTCATTAAAGCACATTTTTAGATACAGCATAGATTTCAAATGAATGTATTTAAATGACACAAGTAACCAGATCACTTCCAAAACAACTAATCTCACCACTGCATCTCCTGCCAGGCTGCTAAGATAGCACCCCCTGCTGGATCATTAGAACTTTACTACAAATCTATGCTCCAAATTGGTGACTTCATCTTTGGGAAACAATTGATTTGAAAGTACCTAGTTAAAGAAAGTTTATTTAGTAAACCATATTTCAGAAGACTTTGATGATGTTACACACTAGCAGACTATAATATAAAACATAATAGTATCAATTCATAACTTCTATTTATGCTGTGTTAAAAAGAGACTGTTTAAAAAGTCATGCAAAGAAACTATAATCCCATGACCATCAAGTGAATTCCAACTCACAGCAACCTTGCCTAGGGTTACCAAGAGTGTAAACCTTTACTGAAGCAGACTGCCTCATCTTCTTCTGGAAGTAACTAATGAGTTCAAACCGCTGGCCAGGCAGTTAGCAGTCCAATGCTTAATCCTCAGTGCTAAAAAGGATCCTTCTGGGAGCTAAAGTATTCCACTAGTCCATCAAAAAAATTTTTTTAATTGTAATCCTATTCTGTAAGTGGTTTACTTATAAGGCATTTAACAATTTTCCTGGAGTAGACGGACTTTAGTCCCCTCTTACCTGCCCATTTTAAAGACAAGAAATCTGAGAAGTGATTTATGGGGAGGTGGTTACAAAATTAGGAGTCCTGGTGTCGTGCTGTAGGATAAGTACTGAACTGCTAACCAAAAGGTAAGGGATTCAAACCCACCAGCTACTCTTCAGAAGCCCTATGAAGTATCTCTATGAATTGAAACTGACTTGATGGCCTTACCAACAATCACAATTAGGGTAGCTATTAGTCAGCATTGACTTGCTGGCAAGGTGTTTGGGACACAAAGAGACAGTGATAAAGGCAAGTTACAGTCCTAGTCTTTGGACCCCTTTCTCTTTTAACTATACTGATCTGTCGTCTCATCTCATACAAGAAAGCATTTGCGGTCCAGCAAATACCCTATTATTTGGTTTGCTCCTAAATAAATTTTATGAGCAGGAAAGGCACATATATTTTCTCAAAGAAATCCAGGTAAATGCTTAAGAAAAGCAAAATAACTGCCTTGCTTGGTCAGTACCTCACCTCACATGCTTGGTCAATTCTGGGAGGTAGGAGGAGTCTTGCCTGTGATGAAGTCTTTATCTACACTATTACCTTGAGTATTTTAAATGGTCTTCTAGGGGGGGAAAAAGACCCTAAACTTAAATATTTTTTTTAAAGAGAACCCTGTATGAAGTCTGGACAAACAATAGACAAAGACAAACCAATTGTCAATACACTCAGAAAGGTTGAAGGTTCGAATTCACCCAGAGCCACATGAAAAGACAGGCCGGGCAAACTACTTCTGAAAAGTCAATCATCGAAACTGCTATGCAATACAGTTCTATTTTGTCACATATATAGCTGCCATGACTTGGAATACACTCAACAATAACTGGGTCAGTTAGGCTAGTTAGAACATGATGTAAAACAAGGGAAAATCATGCTCCCTTCTGAGCAAGATAGCATCACCCAGTGCATTGTCCCAGAATGCTTCTTGAGCCAGGTCTGCCATAGCACATAAGCAAACCTTCATTTCTGAATTCAGCTGAAGATGCCACCCTAAACTACAGCCCAAAGCACCTGCCTCACTTGTATGCATCAACAGCAGTAAAAACAGTGGCAGCATTGTAATTTTATTAGGGGCTATAGGGATATAACCATTCTACTATTAAAAATGGAGTCTTGGTAGAGTGCTACCAAGCCCTGGCCTGTTAACCACACGGTTGGCAGTTCATACCCATCAGTTGCTCCTCAGAAACCCTCTACAGGGTGACTATAAGTCAGAACTGACTCCCAGGCATCTAAACAACAAACCACTATTGAAAATAGTCCACTGTATGCATTTTCACATGTGTAAAATGGTCTGATTCCAAACCACAAAGCTATCTGGTAACTGAGAGGCAGGCAGCCTGACCATTTTAAGAAGCAATATTTTTGTAAGGATGTACATATGATAGGACTTTGAAAAGTTCATGGAATTTTATATAAAATATAATGGAATTTTTCCACAAACTTTTTAAAGCCCCTTCATATTAGGAAGATATCTAATTCTTAGCATACTTCTGTGATTTACCAGACTAATTTGCATATAATTTTGACATTGTTTTTAGCAGTTGAATTTTTTTTTATGAATATCTAATTTCATTTGTTTATGTAATATTTACAGACTATCTATATATGGCTCATTCCATCCAGGAAGATCACTTATGTAAATTAAATGGCAGAGAGGCAATAAGAAATATTATGGCCTTACTTCACCCTCTCCCTTCTGTACCCTCTTAAATTTCAAAAGAGATGCCATATTTCTCAGAACCTTACAATGTATCAAATAACAATACTTGGCCAAGGTTTGCATATGAAGGCTGTTGCAGAATTTGATAGAATATACTTATATATCTAGTACATATTAGTTGTATTATATTATCCCCTCTTGTAAAGCCAATGAAATATTTGAAAGTCCATTGTAGGGCTCAACATTACAAACTTGCTAATGCAACCAATTGAATTTTTACTAGTCATTCTGGACTTTAATTATTATCTGGAGTATAAATTCAGTGTACACTATGTTTGACTATGGAAAACCCCCTGGATGAGAAACTATATATTTGTTTAAAGATTCCAGGACCCCTTAGGGTTCACAGCCCATGGCTTGGAAGCATTCCTCTTGGACCACCAGTTACCTCAGGTCTCAAGTCTTCAAGGTTATGTCAGGACTGGGCCAGACCTCAGGAAACCTGCTATGGTGGACTGGCTCAGGGCCTGTTTGCTTAAGAGCTGTCATCCCATCTGGGCTTGAATACCTGATGACCTCTTGAATGTGCTACATCATCAAAACCAAGGATTTAAGCAACTTTTTGTACTTCCCATGGGGGAAAAAATTCAGAATGAACTCCTCACATATTTTGCAAATTGTCCCCATTGATTCCTATCAAAACCCGTTTTCTCCTCTGTAAATGATGTGACAGAGTAGCACTAACATTGTTCTGACATTAAAATCCCCTGTGTCTCACACCCCAGTGCTCAGAGTTGAGTCCTGGGCCAAACCAATCCTGGACCAGTGTAACTTCTGTTTTTCTGCCTGTCCTTGAGGCTAGTGACTACAACCGATAGATGATAGTTCAAAGTCAATCTCCAAAGCTCACTTCTTAAAGTAAGAACTTAACAAGTTGCTTTTCTTCTCAAAACCTCAATTCACTCATATTAAAATCAGACTAATAAGTGTCCATAACTCACAGAATACCCAGAAGTATGAAATGAAAGAATATATGTGAATGTATATAAAAGCATCTAGCACAATGTCTTAACTATCCATTACTACAATTAATGTTGAAATTATTGCAAAATAGATATTCTAAGGCATTTTAATTTGTTCATCTTAATGATTTTTAAAAAATGGAGTCAGTTAAAGTGATTTTTGGTAACTATTCTTAACAATGTGTTACCTATATAGATTGTTGGGGGATTTTAGTGATAAACTTATTTTGAGCTAAAATTAAATCCATTATTCTAATACCCAGTATTCTGTGTATTATATGAAATAGTGCATAGAAATGTATAGAAATGCATTCCAGGCCTGTTGGAATGTATTTCTATAATAACATAAAGTCCTGGTGACACAGTGGTGAAAATGCTCATCTACTAACCATAAGGTCACCAGTTGGAACCCACCAGCTGCTCCTTGGGAGAAATATATTATGGTCTGCTTCCATAAGTTCCAGCCGTAGAAACCCTTTGGGACAATTCTATTATGCCCTTTAGGGTTACTATGAGTAGGTATCAAGCATGGCAACAATAGTGGGATTGTTCAAGATCAGGCAGTGTTTTGTTCTGCTGTGTATAAGGTTGCTATGGGTCAGTACCAACTCAATGACACCTAACAACAACAACAATGAGTAGGTATTAGCTCAACAGTAGTGGATTTGTTTGCTAATACTACACATACTTCTGATGCACTGGACTTCAAGGTCAGTTTGAACCGCAAGACCGGTGGTTCAAACCCACCAGCTGCTCCTTGGAAATCCTTTACAGGATCGCTATGAGTTGGAGCTGACTCAACCGTACTTAACAACAACAACAACACATAGCTGTTTGTATTGGAATGAATCCAGATATCAAAATTTATCTGAGATAAGGAGAATTAACTAAAGAATTTGAAGATTAATCTAACTTTGTAACAAAAGACTGATAAATGATAAAAACAACATGAAGAAACTATTTTTATTAGGGTTCTGTGCAAAAGTCTGCTGAACAAATTGTGTGTATTAATACCTTTTTATAATACCAACCATCAATCAATGTCAAATATTTTTTTAAAGTTTTAGAATTCCATCCTGAATCAAATATGAAGCTGAATTTTCTCTTAAATCACCTTAGATAATGGAGGAATCCGAAATGTGCACAGTTCCTGGGGGTTTGGCCAGGGTGAAGAGACAATTTGAAGATGAAATTGCTTCTTCCCGTAATACCTTTTCTCAATACCAGCACCAGCACCAGAACGGATCTGAGCAGGTAATACTACTATGGATGATAGATAAATCATGTATGGTTGAAATGCTTTCATTTCAATGTCAAATGTAGAAATTCTACCACTTTGGTGGTACACTGATTTTCCTTTCCCATTAATAAAAATTATAATGTTTGAATGTTAAGGAAAGCATCTTAAAGCATATCTGTGTACTGACTTACTTACAGCATTTTCCCACATGGCTAGGGACTCTTTTTCCTCTCACCTTCCACTGTCTCATACATAAAGGAAAGGAGCTTAGGTTAGTCTGCTGGTAAATGGAAATGTTAGAAAGGCTGTGTACATTGAATCTCAGCTCCTGGGTTGTAACGCGTGCTAGTTATCATTCATCTGGTTGCTTACGTAGGTTAAATGTGAAATATTTTTCAGCTGTTTATTGTAAGGAGTTGTCTGTTTTCTTTAAAATCATCTGAAATTTCATAGTAGAACCCAGACATTACAAAAAACTGTACAATGCAACTTTTAGATTTTATATAAAAGACATTTTCACATCTTATGTAACTATCATATATCACCACTTAATTCATAGGATACAATGATTTGTAGATGTGAGAATCTAAGTTATGAAATCTATCCGACTGAGTTTGGCACCTTGACAAATAGTAATTGCACCCTAAGCAGTTACACTTAGGTCCGAGCTTTGTGGGAAGAAGAAAGGCACTGGGATATTGCTGAAATTTTGTCATGAGAGAAAAAAGTGAATATGTTCTTATCAAAAGCCCAAAGACACATAGAATTGCCTAACTTCAAAAATATAATAATAATAAACTTAGATGAGTAGGTCAGGTAGAATAGTAAAAATTGCAATCCATGAAATAATTATTTGGTGTCTTTATGTAGCTAGGTCTTCAAAGTGAAAAATGTGCAATGTAGGTAGCTAAATAAATTTCTGGCAAGATTTATTTCTAATGCTGCCTATAAGAAATGTAATATAAATAAGGAATTAAGATTAGATACACTTCTGATCTAAGCTACTATGTAAGTGTTGTCACGTGGGAATTGTTGCATCAATCAAGTGTAGATGTTTATGTGTGTGTTTATTTGTAATTGATTAATAATATACAAAATGGTTTTTTCCAATAATTTAAATGTAAAATCCTGTGATTTACTTAATAGAGAATCTCTGCGATAAAAAGTATAGCTATTTAGACTAAAGATCTGTGCTAACATGTCACCTCTTCCACTTGCCAGATAAAATACATAGACCCAGGACAGGCTTCATGGGTGCAGGTATGGGTGTAGGCATCATGCCTGGAAGTGCCTTGCATTTACTTTAATGCTCTGTTCACACCACCTTGAAATTCATAATTTTTAAGCAAGGGATTCTTACAGTTTCATTTTGCACTGGGTCTGATTGTACAGAACAAATTCATAGGCTAAATAATAACACACTGGAGCCTCAGTTTCTGATCAGTAGACTGATGAGCCTCTTGCCTACCTCATGTTTTCATCATGGCACTTTCCTATGGCAAGAAGACGCTGGGTGATGAAAACCGTTAAGTGCTTGGGTAATAGCTGAGAGGACAGCAATGCAAACTTACCCAGAGGGACTCAGAAGACAGGCCTGGTAATCTGCTTCCCTAAAGATTGTTGTTGTTTCTAGGTGCCATCAAGTAGGTTCCAATTCACAGTGGCCTTATGCAC